GTAGCCGGGGACCATGGAGGGGCAGAGCGGCCGCTGCAAGATCGTGGTGGTGGGGGACGCGGAGTGCGGCAAGACGGCGCTGCTGCAGGTGTTCGCCAAGGACGCCTATCCCGGGGTGAGGGACCCGAGGCTGGGGAAGGGAGCGCTGAGGATGCGGGGGTGGGTGATAAGGGCCCGGGAGAATGGACGGAAACGGGTGCCGGGGTAACCAGGGAAGAGGGAGAGGGGCTCGAAGACCGGGGGAGGCATTGAGGGCTCTGGAAGGACTGCAGAGGATGGGGTGGGAAGAACTGGGGAGCTGGGTGATATGGAATGGGGTTTGAGAGAATCAGAGGATCCTGGTGGGGATATTAGGGGAATGTCCGGGGTCCTGAGCATGGGGAAGGGAAGAACTAGAGGCTGAAGGGACCGGGAGAGGGTCTGCGTGCCTGGCAGTGATTCCTAGGAGGCAGCAGCTCCCAGGATCTCCTCTTTGCCTAACCCCAGACCAACTTGGGTCCAGGGACCGGGCTGGACCGGGTGTGGGAGGAGACGATCTCATCCTGACCCATCTGTTTCTGCAGAGTTACGTCCCCACGGTGTTTGAGAACTACACCGCGAGCTTTGAGATAGACAAGCGCCGCATTGAGCTCAACATGTGGGACACTTCAGGTAGCGAAGTCCCTCGGGGTCACCCTGACTTCCAAGGCCCTGCCCTGACCCCTCCCCTGGCTAGACCCTTAGGCTCCAGGTCTGCCCAGCCCATTCACCCAATTCTAGGAGGAAGGCGTATCAGTGTTCTGCTTGAAGCCAGAGAAAATGAGAGAGAGCTGGCCCAGACACACAGAGACCAGGTCCTGAAAGAGAAAACCCACTCTCTGAGCCCCTCGGCTGGGTCCCCCCTGTCTGGGAAAGTTGGGAAGGGATGACTTTTGTTTTGCAACATATTTCTTAGGAGATGAAACTAGGGTTGTTGTTGTTGTTATGTGCCATCGAGTCGGCCCCGACTCCTCCTTGGGTTTCCAAGACTCCTCCTTGGGTTTCCAAGGAGGCAGTATCACTACGGAAGTAGGATTGCCCAACCTTCCTTCCGAGGAGTGGCTGGTGGGTTTGAACCGCCAGCCTTCTGGTTAGCAGGCAAGTGCTTTAGCCACTATGCTACCAGAGCTTTAGAATTTCTTCCGGGAGGAGTGATGGGAGTGGGAAACAGATAACTGGTGAAATCTGAGATCCAGTTCTAAAACGATGGAAGAGCCCTGCCCCTTGCCTCCCCCAACATAGGGGGAGGTTTTTTTTTTTTTTTTTTTTTAAACTAGAGTCCCCTGAAGGGCTGAAGATGTCTGTCACCCAACAGGCAAAAGTGATTTCCTGAGCTTCTCAAAGGGGTCAAGACTCAGAAAAGAGTCAGGATTACTACTTTCAGACAAATCCTTAGGGAAGCACAGAGCTGGGTTCTGTTCCTGACAGGAAGTTCTTCTTGCCTTCTAACCTTCCATGCTTGCTCACCTCCACTGCTCCTCCTCCTTTGGGAAGCACAGACTGCAGTATCCAAATCTATAGTTGTTCTGCTCCCCAGAACCCTTGATCAGGATTCCTACGGTCTCCCACCCTCTCTTAACCCTGTAGGACCCACTTCTGTCCACCCCTGCCCTTGTCTTCCTTCAGGTTCCTCTTACTATGATAATGTCCGGCCTCTGGCTTACCCTGATTCAGATGCTGTGCTCATCTGCTTTGACATTAGCAGGCCAGAAACACTGGACAGTGTCCTCAAGAAGGTGGGAGCCTGTGTGTATGTGTGTGTGGGTGCAGCTAGACTGAGGGAAACTGGGCACCAGAGTCCTGAGAGCGCTGCACAGCCCTCAGCTGCACAGTGTGTGAAACTCTGAGCTCCCTTCACCCAGGAAATGAGAATCTAGGAGGGAGCAGGGGGACTCATGAGGTGGGAATGCTGATCCTAGAGCTCAGGAAAGCCCTGTGGCCTCGTCTCCAGGCCCCTATTTCCATGAGAAAAGCCCGTGGTGAATGGACAGAAGTCAGCTAGGGCAGTCCCAGTTCCCAGGCAGTGGAGGGGAGGACAGGATTGGTCTGTTCCCAGGCAAGAGTTTGGGAAAGGGGGTGGAAGCAGGAAGGTTCCAGGGTGACAGAGCCTGCACAGTGCTGAGACAGAAGCAGGGCCCTAACCCTATAGCTCCACCCCAGCCTTCTTCTGCCACCCCTTTTCCACATCCAAGCATGCTTTCAGCCGGGGCCCACCATTCCCCTGGCCCTTCCTCACATGAGAGAATTCCAGGGGGTACATGATTTCTGCCTGCTGGGGGAAGGGAGTCATCTGGGCATAGAGTAAGGGTTCACCCTGGGTCTCCCTCTACCCCTCCATAATTCTTTATTTTTTTCCCCTCAAATAGTGGCAGGGGGAGACTCAGGAGTTTTGCCCCAATGCCAAAGTTGTACTGGTTGGCTGTAAACTGGACATGCGGACGGACCTGGCCACACTGAGGGAGCTGTCCAAACAGAGGCTTATCCCTGTTACACATGAGCAGGTGAGACCTTTGCCTTCTGACCTGACCCAGCCTAGACTTCTCACCTCTGCCCCTGTCAAGCTCTGATTTGGGAGCCCTACCTGGTTCATCGCCTGCTGTGGCCTCTGACCACTGATCCTCAGCCCACTCCAGCCTACAGCTGTCATGCCCTCAATGAGCTGCAGACTAAGCCCCTAACTCCCTCCCACAAACCTCTTCCAGGGCAGTGTGCTGGCAAAGCAGGTGGGGGCTGTGTCCTATGTTGAGTGCTCCTCCCGATCCTCTGAGCGCAGCGTCAGGGATGTTTTCCACGTGGCCACAGTGGCCTCCCTTGGCCGTGGCCACAGGCAGCTACGCCGTACTGACTCACGCCGGGGGCTACAGCGATCCACTCAGCTGTCAGGACGGCCGGACCAAGGGACCGAGGGCGAGATACACAAGGATCGAGCCAAGAGCTGCAACCTCATGTGAGGGGTGGGGTGGGGCAGTGTGAGGAGGGGTGGTCAGGGGCACCATCATTACTTGTCTACACATGGACTGCCAGACCTCCTGACCCTGGCTAGGGGGTTAGGGCAGGTCAAGTGGGCACTTCTTTCTTGGGAAGGGGGCTAGAGGGCAGAAGGGTGTCGTTATTTCCTATATTCTCATCCTCCCTCCTCTCTACAGGAGGCTAAGGGGGCTACAGAGACAGGCATCTGGGGCGTGAGCTAGAATGGGACAGGTGGGAATTGGGGAAGCTGGATCAGGTGGTGACCTTGGCTGAGTGTCAGTAAATGAAGAGTGCCTTCCCTCCCCACCCCTGGTTCCCATATTCTGGTCCTAGCTTCCTTCCCTAAGGAAAGTGTCCATCCTGTTACCTCCTCTGTTCCTCTCCGCTCACTTCTACAGTTATTCTCATGCACCCTAACCTGCAGACAACAGGCACTAAATTAAAAAGCCAGGAGAAGCCCCTCCTCCATCTACCTACTAATGCTAGTTTCCTCCCATCCTTCCCTCAAAAGTCCCCAATAAAGCCCATGTCCATGGAAAATGACTGTGGCTTTAGTTTTGTTGCTTTTAAAAAATAAACCAGTTTCTCGCTGCAGGAAGGAGAGTTAGACCTCAGAAAGAACTTTCTTGCCTCTGCCCACAAAGGGAGCAGAGGAAAAATCCATGGGTCATTTCAGCCATGTTCTTTTAGGAGCCAGAGGTGAGGGAATGCGATATCCTGGGAATGTTCCTCCTAGTTAATGAGCTGGACAATCCTAAGGCCCTTAGAGGGCTTTCAAGTGGATTGATGTGCAATTACTCAAGGTTATTCAGCCCAGCTGGGGCCCCCTGCGAGTGTTCGAGGGTCCTGCTGAAGTGGTCCAGGCCCCTAGTTCACCATCTCTACCTCTGGTGTGGAGCCTGCTGGGGCTCTGGGATTGTGGAGCTGGAAGGCGTCAAAGGTCTCCACATCACAGAAGCTGACCCTCTGTGGGGTGACGTTTCTCAAGGGAGGCTAGGTTAGGGATTGTCTCCCTCGTTCCACCCTGAACACCTTGAGGATTTTGAGGGGCGTATAAGCTACGAGTTTAGGGTCACCCCCACCCCCTGGAGAAGGAAAGCTGGTGGAGGGGACTGCTGAGCGCTTGTTGCTGGGAAGGACAGAGCTGGTCTGTTTTCTCAGGAGTCTGGTTTCAGATTGTCCTGTATTCCCTCCCTGGCACTGGTCCCACTGGCCTCTTTTCGGTGACATTCTCCCCCCAGGAACCATCCCTGGCCTACCCTTCCTCCAGCCCCCTGTTCTTTCAGGCACACTCTGGGAGGGAACAGTCCTAACCTTCCCATCTGCTGGGATCCCACCCACCCTAATTCACAGCCCTACCCTCCCTCATTCATTCAGTAAATATGCACCGAGTACCAACTGTGTGCCAGACGATAGCTGGGGAGACTAAGAAAAAAGACCCATCTCTGTGTTCCTGGAGGCCAGCTTGGCAGCAAGAGAGGTTCCCCAGGGCTGGAAGTACCTTGATGGAAGATGTAGGTGTAGGATGCTGTGGGAGTCCCTTAATTGTTTGAGAGGGCAACCCTCAAAGCCAGATCCTGAAGACTGAAGAGAAGTCACCAGGTAGAGAAGGGATAGGAAGGACACTCGAGACAGAAGGTTCAGCATGTGCAGACACACGAAGGTGAGGAAGGCATGGTGCCTGTGGGGCTCCCAGCAGGGAGGGCAGGAGATCAGTGTGGGGAGGTGCACTGAAGCCACTGTAGGGCCCTCAAAGGAATCACAGACTTCATTCAGAGGCTAAGAGGACCCACCAGGGATTTCTCAACCAGGGAAAGGAAGTGATCAATTTTTTTTTTTTTTTTTTTTGGATAGACAGCTGGGTAGGGTGCTGGAGGCTGGAGGACTTGGCTTTGAGATGGACATTTTAAATAGCTTCTCTCCCTATGCCAGGCCCCAGTCTTGATACTCTCTCACTGCTGTCAGAGTCCGATCCAACCTATAGCGACCCCTCCTTGGGTTTCTGAGACGGTATCACTTCGGAAGTAGATTGCCCCATCTTCCTTCTGAGGAGTGGCTGGTGGGTTTGAACCCCAGCCTTCTGGTTAGCGGTCAAATGCCTTAGGCGCTACGCCACCAGAGCTCCTCCCTAGTCTTGAGAGGAAGGAAAAGTCAGACCCACTCCATGGCCCATTAGATGCTCCTTCCCCTCCTACTGGACTCTTGTCCTGCTCCATCTCAGTTAAGTCTTCTTGAGGACTCTGGGACACCTTTAAGGGCACTGGGCCTTGAACTAGACCTATGCTTCTTCCCCTCAACCTGAGACCTGATTAGGGTGATGCTGAGACCAGCCCCCAGTGACCCTGAGTCCTGGGTGAAGGTGTTAGGGAGGGCTAGAGGGCTAGGGCTGGAGGCCTAGCTACCAGCTACGTGGGTCTGGTCCCAGAGGGCTGAGCCTTCCCCTACAGGGACCTGCTGATACCATGGGCTCAGGACTCTTGGCCAGTTTGTGTGGCTTCCCCACTTTGGTGTTCTGGTGTAACATGTAGGCTCAAGCCTGCAGCAGTCCAAGTGCCCCTTTCTCCCAACCTCCCTCTCCTGCTGTTGCAAGTACATTCCAATATCCGCCTAAAGCAAACATAATTAGAAAGATAAGTCAGCTGGAGGAACCCCCAAAGTTTAATACATTTCCAACACCACCAGGAATGAGTTTTGGCTGCCTTTACAAGTCTGGGTGGCCAGGCATTTGATCTTGGGTGTAGGGGAAGTTGTGCCTCCTGGCTGAGGAGACCTGTGGGTGGGAGAAGGCAACAGAGCTTACCTTAATCCTCAAAAACCCCTAGAGGCTGGAGGGAGGGGGACCTTACCCCTACCCCACCCGCCCTCCTCTGCCACTGGAGTGAGACCCAGCTTCCTCCTCTGCAGCTGTTTCCCCCACAAATTAGACACCCGTTTGGGAAACAATGTAGCCTCGTTAATCATTTAATGAAATAAACAACTAATTACACTGTGATTCTGCGCCAGTGTTTCTTAACCTCTACAATCAGCCAGTCCGGGGGGGGGGCGGCAATCAAGGGAAGGAGGGTGGGGGGACTCAGTCTCACCCCTTAAACACTTCAGCTGACATTGGCTCATCCCCTTGTGACTCCAGCCCTCCCAGGAGGGACAGTCATGGGAAGAGTTTGAAATCTGAAGGCAGCGATCCAAGGGTTTGGGTCCGAGCCCTGGGTGGCCTTTGGTGAAGGCCCTATACCTGTTTGAACTCAATTTTACACCTGGATGTTGTTGTTATGTTCAGGGGGCTTATTTTCACATCTACTCACATCTAGGAAGATTCAGAGAGGAGGACCCATACAGAAATAAACACTGTTTGACCCTTTGAAAGGGGGCTCAGCTTTTTTTTCCCCCCTACCACCACAACATCCAGGCTTGAGTGCTCCTGAGCTGGCCCACAGGGAACCCGGGGAGGCTTCTTGGAGAGGGTGTTTTGTACTGCCATTCGAAGATTCAAAAGTAGGAGGAAGGCTGGAAGACAGGAGAGGAGCCTGCAGGACCCTGGCAGACAGTCCTGGGACCCTTCCCAGGAAAGCAGTTTGGCTCCTCTGAGCATCCCCCTCTCCTCTTGCCAACAAAGAATCTCTTCTGCAGTGCAGCCCCTCTCCTGCCTCCCTCCGTCCAGCTGGGTCCCCAGGTCTTCCCTACCTCTACCCCATCCCCTTCTCCCTCTTGTCAAGGATGGGGGTGACAGTCTGAGAGAAGGGAGGCTTTGGGCCCCTGAGGAGGGGGGGACGACACGGATGGGGACCTTCCCAGCAGCTACCCCTCAGCAGCCAGAGACAGAGACTTGTGGATAAATACCCCTCCCCCCAAGAAAAAGCCTTCGCTCTTGACTCCTAAATAACAGATGTCTGTCTGCATATTAATGAGATTGGCCGAGTAATTGGTGAGTTTTCATTCAGTGTCAGAGTGAACCCAGAGGCCTTATGTTCAAGCACACACTCACCCACTCACCCTAGACTTTCCCCTTCCCCCAGAGTACAATGAAACAGACGCAAACACTGGCAGGCTTGACCCACAAAGCCGAAGGGGCCGACAGGGCACTGGGAGGGGGTGTGAGGAGGAGGGATACCACCACCAGGGTCTGGGTCTCTGCTGTCCCCCAGCCTCCCAGGGGCGAAAGCTTACTTGAGTTCACCACCACCCAGAAAGAGCCCAGAAGAGAGTGGGAGCCAGGGAGTAGGAAAAGGGGGAGGGGGAGAGGAGGAGAGGCGGTTGCTGCCTCTTGAGAGCTACAAACAAGTGCCCTCCTTCCGAGAGGCTGTGCCCCTCTGGTGCCAGAATCAGCAGGCCACTTACCCTGCACTAGTCCCCAGGTCAAGGGGTGAGGTGGAAGCAAACAGCCCCATTTGCCAGCTGGGCGTTCTTGCCCAAGTTACTCAACCTCTCTTAGCCTCAACTTCCTTGTCTCTAAGAACACCTAGCTTGCAAGTTTGAAAGGACTGACAGAATGAAATCAAGTGTCTCATGTATCTTAGTACTCAACACATATAAGTCCCTTCCCTACCTATCCCCCAAACACACTGACAGTTCCCAAACTGTTATGTCTCCTTTGAGACCTGCCCTGGTTAGGGCAGGGATTAATTAAAAATTCAGTAATGATCCTGGCTGCCTGGAAACTGAGGGGAAAAGGTACAGAGAGTGGCGGGGGCAGAGAAGTAGGAAATTAGACAGCTATTGGAGAGAGAAGAGTGGAAACAAAGGCCAGGAACAGAAGGAAAGAGAGAGACGCATGATGAAAACGCATGCATGCCAGGAGTGAGTCTAGAGTCTCGAAGCCCCAGTTCTACCATGAGCTTGCTGGTCGACCTCAGAAGTCTCACCCACCCTTAGCACCTCAAGTCTCCTCATCTGTGAAATGTGGGGTTGGTTTGCTCTCCAAGGCCCCTTCTCATTGTGTGAGAACAAGAGTCCCAGTGGCCTGGGAGAGTGCCGGGGAGGGGAGCCGAGTTGCCCCCTAACACAGTCACCAATCAGTCACTCGTGCTCTGTCTCCTCTCTCCCTGGGTAAATGGATCTGCTGCGCCAGCAAACAACTGTCCATTGTGTCCTAATGACCGACGAGCAGGGAAAACCAATCACTTATGATGCAAATGAGCCAGCGCCTGCAGCCTCCAGGATTCCACTGAGTGCCTCTCTTCTGCCCAGGCCCAGTGGTGCCCCAGTTGGGACTTTCTCCCCAGCCTCAGTTCCCATCTGGTCCTGGAGAAGGAAGGGGGCGGGGAGGAGGAGGCCCAGACTGGCCTTCCCATTGTCTCTCATCAACACTCCCTGCTCTGAGCCCCATCCCACTTGCCTCTGAGTCTTGGCCAACTCCTCTCCCCACCCCAGAGGGCTCCAAGGGAGGCTCAGGTTTTAGGTCCCTCTGTCTGTCTCCATCCCCCACTGCCTTTGGTGACACTGAAAAGCTGCTAAGGCCTCAGCAGTCTAGGAGGAAGGGAGGCTGGACTTGGGGTGAAGGGGAAGAGGACAAGTCCTGTGAGTTAGCATGAAGCCGGGAGAGA